AAGCTACTTGTAGTATTGGTTAAGAGATTGGATTGCCAATATATTCTACATATAAAAATAGACTCTGTATATAAGGAAACCATCCAAGTTCAGTTGCTCTGACAGATTGAAGACTATGCAAAGACTGAAGCAAATACAGTAAAACAATAACTATTGGGTTTTGTCAGGAAAGGGCTTTTTCCCCCATTTGTTTCTTAAGATAGGGTGTCTCTATGTATCACTGGCTGGCCTGAAGCTTAATATACAAGGCAGGCTGGCCTCAAACTCAGAGATCTATCTCTGCCTCTCTGGTCCTGTTAAAGTTAAGGCATGTGCTACCACACTTGTCAGTAATAGCTGTGTATTCAGAGATGGGATTTTAATTACTCTTTACACATTTCTGTAATTATAGGAAAAAAATATCAAACTAGGCCTGTAAAGACAGTGAGTCCTTCAGATGAAAACACCAAAATCATAGGTCTCATCTCAGAGAGAAGACTCATTAAACATTTGCAGTCTAAAACTTCAAATGAAAATGAAAAACACAGCAGCTGAAAGTGATACTAGAAGGTAATAGGCAGCAGTTTCCATGGCACCTCATCACTAAGAGCAGAGAGTTCAGCACTACCTGGGGCACTGGGTGAGACTGCAGAACACAGGTAATTCCAGTCACATGGTGGGATGACTGCAGAGATGTCATACTCAAATTCTTGTAAACGTTCTTGCATGTATTACTTTATATTTACCTCGTGCTTTGACCTAGGCATTCTAAAGCATGTTTACACACTAGCCACACATTTAAACCACTCACCTAAGGTGGATGAACTCAGTCATAGCTGTCTGCCTAGTAAGGCTGCTAATTATCTACAGATTCCTTCGTGGACTCTGTGCCATTCCTAAAGATTTTCATTACTAGTGCTTTATGTACTGTTTGGGGTTGTTTTATAATTTTCACATATTACTGTTGTGTGTGATGTGGCACATGTGTCATGGCACACTTGTGGAGTCAGTTCTCTCCCTCCATCAAGAATTGTTGGTTGGCAAACATTCCGCCTGCTGAGTCATCTCACCAGCCAGTGTTTTGTTTGGTGGTTGTGGTCGTTGTTTTTAAGGGACTAATTAATTATTTCTGCTTATGCATGTGTATCTGTGTGACTGTATGTGAATGTTTATGTGTGCAGGTGCCAGCCAAATCCAGAGCACACTGTCAGATCTTCTGAAGCCGGAGTCATATGTAGTTGTGAACCACCTAGCATCAATGCTAGGAACCAAAATTGGAACTCTGAACAGCAATAACTGCTCTTAAGCACAAAATCATCTCTCCAGCCACCCAGTTTGTTTGTTTGTTTGTTTTTAAGACAGGGTTTCAGACTCATGGTTCTCCAGCCTTAGCATCCAAAGTACTAGGATTTCAGGCATGCACTACAATACCTGGCTATTATTAGCATTTGAACACAAGCTCTTTGCAGAAAAGTGTAAACCTTCACACCTGATGAATAATGACTACACACCACTCATGTTTGCCAAGCATTAACATTTGTCATGCAGAAATTCTTGGTGAATTATTACAGAGAACATTTCCATATTAGGATCGGCTCCTTGGTATTTTTAAGCAAACTGGAATATTATCATTAATACTGTTTCCCCTAGTCCTTGAAAGAACAGGATCCAGGGTCATGCTAGACATGTTTCAAAGAATTCAGTTGAGATGGCACCTCTTGATTTTTCCACTAAGTGAATGCTTTATTTCAATAATTACTTAACTTGGAGAGAGCCATACAGAAACAACAGGCATAATGTCTTCCTCATAATTTTGCTTAATTAAGAAGTCATAGCTGGCTGTGGTGAGGAATGCTTTTAACCCAGTACTTGGGAGGCAGAAGGAAGTAGACCTCTTCTGAGTTCAATGTTAGTTCAATAGCAAGTTCCAGGTGAACCAAGACTATAAAGCAAGACCCAATCTCAAAAAAAAAAAAATTCAAAACTCAAGCCCAAGTTTCCAGCAGAGAAAATTCACAGTAATGATCTGGCAAGAGAGCCATAAGGATGGTCTCAGAAATCACAACTCTTCAGACATTGGGAAGTGTTGTTATTTTAACTGTTTTATTTTTCCAGCAATAACTAGTCATTTTCAGAAACTCACGTAATTTAACCATTGAGTACAACACGGTAATTAATCAGGCTTCTTCATAGCATTTGATCATAGCTAACTTCTGTCCTCGAGACTGACTGGGCACCCAGCTGGCTTTCCTAGCCTATCTTCACTGCTGGTGATTTTGTTGAAGGAAGTGAAAATGATGTCCACACTGTGACAGCAGGGAGGGAGCCTTGGCCAGATAACCAGCACCTGCATCTCTGCCAGACCTCTCTGCTTCTCAGGACAGCAGCACCGCCGTGTGGTAACCACACTCTCAGTGCAGTTCACCTGCTAGCTTTGAAACTGTAAAAGGCTTTTTTTTTTTTTTTTAATTTGAGGGAAGGAAGTTAAATAAAGGTGTTATTTTAAGACATTTTATATTTCACTATCTCACGTTATCTTGCTTTCCTGCTTCATCATTTTAACTTACAAGGAAAAGACCTAGAACTTCAAACTACTTTTTCCTACCTTTCACAGCAAGGAGAAAGCAGAATAAATGTAAATTTGATTAATTTTTTTTAAAGTTAAAACTTTTTAAAATTCTATTTGGAAGCCAGGCATGTTGGCACATGCTGGTAATCCCAGCACTCAGGGATGGAGAGGAAGATGGATCTCTATGAGTTCAAGGCCAGCCTGGTCTACAAAGCAATCCAGTACAGCCAAGGCTACACAGAGAAACCCTGTCTTGAAAAAAACAAACAAAATTCTATTTGGAAACATCAAGATTTACAAAACTACAGAGAGAGAGAAAAAAACAAATAATTGAGCCTGTGTCACGAAAAGACTCTAGAGCAGGTGTTCTTAACCTTCCTAATGCTGTGACCCTTTAGGACAGTTCCTCATGTTGCGGTGACCCCAAACATAAAATTATTTTTGTTGTTACTTTATAACTGTAATGTTACTATATTATTAATCATAATGTAAATATCTCATATTTTGTGTAATTGTAACGTAAATATTATGTGAAAGAGTCATTCAACCCCCAAATGGGTCACGGCCCACACTGAGACCCACTGCTCCACAGCACTCTAAAATATGAGCTCACCCACGGAGGCTGGCAAAACGGCTTAGCAGCTAGACACTCTTCTTTCATCAGGTCCCTAGCACTCAAGTTTGGCAGCCCACAAATACCTTTAACTCCATCTACAAAGGACCCAGAACCCTCTCCTGGTTTTCTTGGGTACCTGGATGTAGACACACACACATACACACAAACACAATAAATTTAAGTGCCTAAAAAGATGGCTGACCTACCCGTACAGACATACATGTAGGCAAAAAACCATACACAGAAATGAAAAAAACCTTAGTCTTCTAAAGGGACTGGTAAGATGGCGCTTGCTGCCAAGCCTGACAACCTGGATTTAATCTCTGGGACCCACATGATGAAAGAAGACAATCAACTCTTCAAAACTGTCCTCAGATTCCCCCTCCCAACACTCACACCTCCACACATGCACCCACACACAAACAAATTAATTTTTAAAGTTTTTTAAATTAATAACCCTTAAAATATGTCAAGTGAAAGAAGCCAGATTCAAAATGTACTATGTTATGATTCTATTTAAATTAAAGATCAGTGGTTGACAGGGACTGAAAGTAGGGAGAAAGGCAGTGACTGCTAATGAATAGAAGATTTCTTCTTCAGTGACAAAAAATGTTCTAGAATTAGAGGTTAGAAGCACTATTCTGTGACTACATTAAAAACCAATGAACTGTATAACTTAAATTTAAGGGTCAACATTCTAGCATATAGCTATTATCTCAATAAAGCTATTATATTTTTTAAAAGGAAAAAAGAAGACAAGTGGCTCCCTCTGATGGCAAACCCAGAAGAGAGGGGAACGCAGTGACACTACTCCCACCCAACATCCCTCTCCTCTCTCGGAGGAGCTACCTGGGTGCTCTCACTGTCCTGAAGCTGCTGCAGGGCTCCCCTGTATCTCTCTGATTTTACTCTCCTCTCTAGTTTTCAGACCCTGATCAGACTGAAGCCTCTGACACCAGCCTGCCTCTCACAGCCTCTCCACACACACCTTTCCAGCCACATTCCGGATCATGGTGGCTCCTAATGGCAACAATTCTGAGGTTCCTAACTCTGCCACAGGCATGCAGGCTCACCTGAGTTCTTCCCAGCCTCTCCTACCTAAAATAAGTCCGTATGCAGACACCAGGCATACAGCACACCCCAGCTCTCAAAACTACACGTGCAGCTACCCTTGCTTACCAGATGTGCCCATCTGATACCTTCCTTTAATCACTTGGCTTATTCTCGGTAACCTCCCCCTCCACAATCCTATATCCCTTCTGACCTCTATGCAGACTGTCTCATCTCCCAAGGCATCAGTGGACTGAGCTGCAATATAGCTTATAGTTTCCCTCCATGTCTCAGGGTTCCTGTGTCCTAGAAAGCATGTGTAGCCCCAAGGTAGCTATGAAGTGTCATCACCTGAGTGAAACACCTTAAAAAGTGGCCTGTTGGGTCCTCCAGGTAAAAGCTCACATCTGTTCTTGTTCTCATAGCAAGCACAGAGTGTACTGCCCAGCATCAGCCTAAATCTGATTCTGAACACAGAAGTAAAAAACTAGTGGGGGAAGGAGTAGGAGCTACAGACAAATGACCATTATTCACCTCTCTCAAAACAATTGCTGGCACATGTGTCTCAGCTCTGTGGACAGGCGGGATGACAGCAAGGCTTTGTATCATGGAGAATTGACTAGCTTCCCCTACCTGCATTCAGGAATCCCTAACTGGCTGACTCTTCAACCTATGTTCTTGCTGCTGTAAATTATGGAACCTTATCAATTAGGGTGGCGAAGGAAAACCTACTCATCCTCTGGGAAGACAGTGACCGTTCAAGAAAAAGCAGAAGTTCCATCTCACCTGGACTTGAGCTGTTGGAAGAACAGCTGTCCTTCTTCCCTCCTCCTCAGGGCTTCCCTGTATGGACCATGCTGCAACCTGAGGGCACAGGGCTAAGAAAGGAAAAAGACATCATAGAGGCACCTCTTCCCGCCAGAATTCCATCATTTACCCTATGGAAATGAGAAGGGCTAATCCTTGTCCCTGCTGCTACCATCAGGGGTAAGGAAGAAAGCCACTTCTTCACCCCAAAGATAAAGGAAATGGGAATCAGAGAAATAACATGTGAATCCTCACCAACCTATGCCATGAGGCACCATCTCTGTGAAGCACTTTTCACAGCCTTTCTAGGTCTCAGCCCTCAATATTTAGACATCAATTCTGCTGTTATCTGTCCTAAAGACATCATCATCACTTTACCCCTACAGACAATTTTCTGACCCCTTTTTATTCCAACTCCCTGGTGACAGCTGGACTACAAGCTCCTCTTTTAAAGAACCACTGTTCACCAGCTCTGACCCCAACTATGGCAGATGACTAATGGAAGAGGACATTCCACGGCAGCCAACACAGTTGACGGTACATGTTCTTCACTCACCCCAGGAGGCAGAGGGACCAGCAGCTGCCATCTCCCAAGACTGGTCCATGAGGGGACCTGCAGAGAAACAACAGATTATGACTGACACAAACCCAGGGATTACAGGTAACACAAGAAAAAAGGAACATGACAGAGCCCTCTACAGAGTCCAAAGGCATATTAAAAAAAAAAAAAATCCAACATAACCTGGATCTCTATAGGAAATGCACTTGTAGAATATGATTTAACAACAAGGCAACTAAAAACAGAACCCTCTGAAGGCTGGCATTGGGGCACTCCAGAGGCAGAGGCAGTTTCAAGGCCAGCCTAGTCTACAGAGCAAGTCCAGGACAGCCAAGGCAACACAGAAAAACCTGTCTCAAAAATCTAAACAAACAGAACCCTTTGCATAAGTGTCTGATAAGGTGCAACCTCACGTATTTTTATATAAGTAGGTTACTGCTTTGATGTCTATGGTGATAACAACTCAAAGATAAAACATATCATTATTAACACTGCTTTTAAAATACAGATTAACGTTATGTATTATACAATAATAAAGTGAAAAACACCGGAGAAATAAAAATGTTTTGATTGTATGTACTGTATGACTCTTTTCTAAAGAGTCCTATAAATTACTCGAGTATCTCATAGAGGCCCTTTTCAGAAGCTGACCATCAAATATACAAGATTTATGCTGTCTTTTATGAATAAAATTCCCCTTAACCACTAATTAGTTCTAATTTTATACCAAGACAGCTAGACCTCCTATTAGCTCCCAAAGCCAGTAGCACCTTCTCAGCCCTAACCTACAGGAACAGTAAGTCTTCTGTAGGGAAGGTGCAGAAAAATCAAGACTTGGACTCACCCCAGGAGGGCCATCCGTTGATGGCTGCCATCCCTGAGGATTAGTTGACCAGGGTCCTGCCCAGGAGCACTGCAATTACCAACCTAGAGACAAAGTGGGAAAAAAAAAAAAAAAGACATACTTGGTTCTTTCTCACAAAAGATCCAGGGAGAACAAAAAGAACACATCTACAAAGGTAACAAAAGACCACTAAGAAGCAAGATTTAAAAAAAAAAAAAAAAAAAAAAAAAACTTATTTACATTTCAAACACAAACAGCTGAGTCAGGGACATGAGCATGCAAGAGGACCTGTTACATACTCATATGTATATACAGGAGGATCCCTGGGGATTTCTGGCCAGTCCACAGAGTGGAATTAGAGGGTCCAGGTTCAGTAAGAGACCCTGTCTCAAAGGCAAGATGGAAAGCAACTGAAGAAGACACCCAACACCAACCTCACAGTCGACATAGACATAGCACAAGAAAAAGAAAAATGACAGAACTGGAGCAAAATGAGTATACAGCACTCATGTTTGCCAAGCATAACATTGGTCATGCAGTTCTTGGTGAATAATTACAAAGCGCATTTCCATATTTAAAAAGACTGGTTATTCTTGGTAGAGGGGGTTGTACAGCTGCACAGTTTATACAACAAATCGACTGAATCCACATTTAACGATAAAAATGTGATCGTTATACAAATGTTAAAGCCAAACAACAACAGAAGCCACCTGCAAGATCTTCCAGAATCAAGCCCATCGGTCCCCTCCTTGCAGCCTCACTAGAGGCAAAAGTGCCGTCAGACCCCACAAATGCACGGATTCCAGGTCTTTGTGTGAGACCGGTAACTTCTCAGAGTGATGGAGAGATGTCGGGTACTAAGCATTGGCACACTCACTGAGACTCAGACACCCCAGGATTTGAACCAAAACACAGGGCAAGCAAGTTACAAGAATCCTCTCACTCCCTCTCCCCTTCCCTCCTTCCCCCCTCCTCCCTGCCTCTCTCCCTCCCTCTCTCTCCCTCTCTCTCTCTCTCTCTCTCTCTCTCTACGCACACTCACACGCACACAACACACCACACACACCTCCCTGTCGCTTCAAGTTTAAAAGAACCCTGGGCCTTCCCAAATAAGGCCCTGTGCGGAAGGGGTAAGAGCCTCCGGGTCACTCCAGGAGCTGGTTTCAGCAAGCTGCCCGCCCTACCTGGCTCGTAGCCCCCCGACCCTGCGCGGCAGGCTTAGCTGGCTCGGGGCTGCTGCACTGAGCGTCTGGCTTCGGTCCTGCACACAGACAAGATTCCACTGGTCTACTCGGCCCAGTCCGGCCGGCCTTTCCGAGAATGAAGAAACCGCGCACCCAGACCCGGGGTGCAGGAGGGTTGAGGGCAACGGGGGCACCAAGTCGACAAGAAAAGAGAAGGAGCCCGACGCACCCCGGCACTGAACAAGCCCTGACTGCAGGCGCCGCTTCTCACTGACCATTCCCACGACCTGCCAGTCTCTCCGCAACAGCGACATTGGAAGCCCTTCTGTCTGGAATAAGGCCTTACCTCCGCTGTGGACAATGGCGGCCGCCCCCCCCCCCCCTCCCCCGAGTCGATCAGGGCGCAATGCAAGGACTACTGGGAGTTGTAGTTTCAAGGAGGCGCACTTCCTGCTTCTACCGGAAGCCAAACAAGGCCGGGATATTTGGTTCTCTCTTTTTCCACTAGGATAGATTGGGAGGGCAGGAACCTCACTTTACATCTCAGTAAAATGTCAGCTCAGGGCACCCACTTTCGAAGTCAGAGCTTGATGAGGGTAAATGATCTCTCAGAAGCACTTGCTTCAACCTTGACAAGATTTAGAATGTGGTTGTTATTATACCTACTTATTTTTAGATGAAGAACCTAATTCTGAGTGTCCCCTTACCTATAAAGCCCCACTTCTGAGAACATCAGGATTGTCCCCCAAATCTCTTTCAAGATGGGAAAGCCAAGTCTAGGATATCAAGTTATTTTGTGGTATTTCCCTGAGTCAGCGTTTATTGAACAGTGGTTGAGAATAGAACAGAAAAGAGCCAAAGAAACCTCTGCCAAGTCAGACCAGTTTATGACCAGTGAGGTTGCATAGTTTAGGGAGGGCAAGACCACTTTCAAGAAATGCAAGTAAAACTAGTCAGGCATACACTAGCAACACATAGTTATGGATCACAGAGAAGCAAAGGTGGCCCCAGAAAACATATTAACCAATAGAAGCTGTGTGAGTAAGTTTTCGGAATTAAGAGAGAGGATGGAAAAACTGAAGAGCAACTTATGAGATACATGGCTTAAATGTAGGATTAAAGAGTGTCAAAGATTTGCAGGAAGAGGAAATGGTTTTGAGTTTCTAATCCTCCTGCCTTCAACTCCTGAGTGCAGAGGTTACAGGTACTACCACCTTTCTGCATTGCTGGGGATCCAGCTCAAGGCTTTGTTCATGTTGGGCAGGCACTCTACCAACTGAACTGCAACCCTACCCTAGAAATCTGGCTTCTTTGTTGTGAGTTAGAGGGAACCACTGAAAAGTTTAGGTGAGAAAATGATGACTGTGTGTGTGTGTGTGTGTGTGTGTGTGTGTGTGTGTCTTTAATTACTTAGCTAGTTAGTTAAGTTAGTTAGTTAGTTAGTTAGTTAGTTAGTTAGTTAGTTAGTTAGT